CACTCGCATGCAAGCTCTCCCAAACTAATGCAAACACAACCCGAGTAGTTCCACGCCTGCCTCAAAGGGTATGGACTAGTGGGTCATTAGTTGCGGGAGGTTCGGAACACTAAATCCAAGCTTAAAAGCGATGTGCTGATCGGCTTGATCGGCCTAAAAGCCCTAAGCACGACATCGGTACGAACCGCGCTGCGATTACTAGCATCCCACCGGGACTGATATATCCCAGAGCTGGTCCCGGTCACCTTAGAGCTATGCGTTTTAAACTGTTGTTCATCCCTTCTCTTGCGTGGGCGTATTCAATGCTTCAACGTTGCAATCTTTAGATAGGCGAGTTGTAATCGAAAACTGGAGGAAAAATACCCCGGCATACCAAGCGGACGGTTACATGGCTTCTGAATGGTATCATTGCCACCTGCAGCACTCTGTCTTGGCGAGCTCACGCAGCCTATGAGACGCCGGGCGATGCGGAGTAGCAGAGATGGCCCGACGGATAGTAGAGGCATAGGCGCAACCGAACAGAAGAACTTTAGCATTGCAGCGATGAATAACCTTGGTGACGTTGACCAATAGTGCCAAGAATTTGCGACATCCTTCCGACCTGCCTATTCCATATCGAAGGACCAGGCTCATCAATTGTCCGTCTTACAACATGCATCGCCAGAGAGGGGTCCACGTTCAGTACCTGAGGACCGAAGTCCTAAGCGATGGTCTTATTCAAACGGTATTCTCGTCATGGCTTGGCTTATGCAGATCGTGCAGAATACTGGCCGATGAGTGAGCGAGCGAAATGCAAGTATTCTGCAGCTACCTAGCCGTGAGGTTCATTTCCTGGGACTTTTGTGACATCCGAGTAACATGGCGTCGCTTGGCTTGGAAGATGGAAGGACGGACCACATTCTCGGTGCTATAAATGCTGACGACAGTCCTTCCATTTGCGGAATAAACTTCTCGCCCTGGACTACATCTGACATTCAATCTCTGCGGCGGAAGTTTTCCCTCCAGTTGTGTTGGTAGAGAACCAGTCGTCAACATGAAGTCCAACGCGCTACTTGTCGCCATTGGCGCCTTCTCTCGCGTCTCCATTGCCAGAGAGCTGGAGCCCAGCGCCGAGCTGTCAGCCTGGTATGATACCGGCGCGGCTCATCAAGAGAGCATGGAGCACAAGATCGTAGGTCTGATCCTTAGTCTCCAAGCAGCATCAAATCTGACAGAACCAGGCCCAATGGGAACAAGCCGAGGCCGAAGGAAAGTTCGATTCGACTCAGTGGACGGGTCGCGTCAAAGACTATCTCGCATGCAAGGATGGCAAGGTAGAACTCGTCAAGGGCGACCCTCTTCAGACGTTCCGATGCAAGGATGTAAGTTAATGGTTCAGAATAGGATCGACCTAGTCGTCCTAGGAGCCAGAGAGTTTCGCTCACAAATGACAGCTCGACCTCTATGACTTTCAACCTCACGCAGCGTTTGGCAACTCAACCGGTAGAGGTTCAGGGTCGTGGGGATGGACGGCACCAAACGGCCGGGAGTTCTCTGCCATTGGACAGCTCGATGGCACTGCTTTTGCCGAAGTCTCGAAGCAGGGCAAACTGATATATCTCGGAAAATTGCCGTACTTCTCCGAGCCAAGCAGATGGCGTGAGATCAAAGCTTACAAGAACTATCTCGTTGTCGGTAGCGAGGCGCCTGGTCATGGAATCCAATTCTTTGACTTGCGCAAGGTATGTCAGACCTACGGGAAATTTTTCGTGTCAAGCATCCCTATGTATAGGTGAGCTACGGACTGATACTGCTTCAGCTTCTCGACATCGACCCAAAGAACCCCGTTGTCTTCTCCAATGAGAAGGATTTGACGGCTCATTGGACCGAAGCTTTACCCCTTGGTCGCAGCCACAATGTCGTTGTCAACGAGGAAAAGGGATATGCCGTTGCCGTCGGCGCTCAGCCTCGTCGCAACCTTCCCTGCGACTCTGGCCTGCAGTTTCTCGATCTCGCTGACATCAACAACCCTCTCTACCTGGGTTGCGCGGCTGGCGATGGCTATGTTCATGACGCGCAGTGCATCGTGTACCGTGGACCTGATGTCAAGTACTGGGGCCGCGACATCTGCTATGGCTACAACGAAGATACCTTGACCATGTGAGTCCTTTGACGCCGACTTGTTCTACGCTCTTTTCTGACAAGCTTTCAAGCTACGATGTGACCGAGAAGAACAGCACCAACATCATCTCTCGTACCACTTACGAGGGTGCGACCTACACTCACCAGGGCTGGGTTATTGACCCCAACTGGCAGGACTTCTTGGTTTTGGACGACGAGATTGACGAGAGGAACAAGACTGGCCCGGCGGCTGACGGTTTCCCTGTGACCTACTTCTGGGACATCAGATCCCTTGAGAAACCCAAGAACTCTGGCATTTTCAAGGGTACGGTGCGGAGTGTCGACCACAACCAATTCATCCACCGCGGTCTGGCGTACCAGAGCAACTATGGTGCTGGGCTTCGTATCCTGGACATCTCATCCATTCGATGGGATCCCACAGCCAAGAACGTCAAGGAGATTGCCTACTTTGATATCTTCCCAGAAGATGATAATGAGCCTGGCGGTGGAGCAAACAACTACACTGGTACTTGGAGCCATTATCCGTACTTCAAAAGTGGCTACATTGTCATCAACACTATTGAACGTGGCGTTTGGGTTGTGAAACGATCCAACCCCTGGTGGTGGCCGTGGTAAGGGGCAGACTTCACGTCTATCGAGATATGGCCAACAGGCATCTCGCCGAAGGAGCAAATAATTTTCTTGTACATAGTATAAACTGCAGAATCTTATCAGAATCGCGGATTCTTCAAGATGGATTCTAGCTCTACTCAGCGCTGCATTTCCGAAATGCGCCAGTCGAAGGTCTGACAAGTGAACGTGCCATTCAATGGTAATCGTCCAAACAATCAACCAGGTTACAAGCGCGATGGTCTGTTCGCCTCACCAACTCACACTTCAGTCTCACTGATTGGATGGTGTAATCTGGAGAACCGCTGCTCAGGGATTCAATGGCTGACGCTCAATCGGGGCAGAAACTCCACCAAGCATTACGTCGGTCCACACAGGCCATGCATGCAGGCCAAGACTGCTGAGGCAGAATATCCGGGAACGACGTGCCGTCTACTTGGCGTAACGCGGCACTGCCTTGACTCCCGACATCATACTCTTTCGAAGGGGCAAATGGTTCTACCAAGAGCAAACGCCGAGGACGCGTGGACGTCGATTTGAATTGAGTTAATACCTGCATTGCCGAGTCCCGGATTAAGCTTCTTTCATTTTACATTCATCCACACTTTGTTTTTGCCTTTCTGTCTCTAGCCTCTAGACCTGCTTTTAGCGTTTGAACTTTGGGCACGAATGCCTCGTTCCCAGACTCGAAGAGAGGATGCCGCCCAACAGATCAAGGACCATGACAACTTGAGTGGGCAGGTAGATGGCGAACTTACCCAAAGCGATGGTTGGCATCATGGCCTGTGCGGATGCTGTGCATCCTGCGAGCTTTGCCTCCTGAGCACCTTCGTGCCATGTCTTCGTATGCCACCCTCTGATCGTGGCGGTCATTGTTTTGCTGACAGATCTCTAAAGTGCTTGGACAGACCTCCCATCGAATCAAGGAGCCTTCAATGAAGAATTACAGGCATATCAACCGCGATTGCCTTTTGATGATGGGAGTCACATATCTTACAGGCTTTGGTTGGATGTAAGTCGGCTGAGTCACGACTTGACGACTTTCCACCTACCAGTTACTAACAATGCATTCCAGGTATGTCATGAAGAAGCGCTTTGAGATTCGCAAGCGCTATGGCATCAAAGGTACCGATGCGAGAGACTGCTGCGCATCCTACTGGTGTCTTTCATCTGCTTTGGTTCAGCATGAGAGAGAAGTCCTTACCCGGCAGGCTGGCAGGAGTGATCCCATCACTGAGGGTTATCAGACTCAACCTGCCATGGAATTGCCTTCTAGATATACGCAGCCGACTACATAGAGTTTGAATGGGATTGTATTTCTCTGGGGCCAATATACTCCTCGTGATTTGGGGGTGCTTGTAGGTTTGGCTTCAGCTGGCATCGGCACATATTGACGTGTGTGGGTAAACGTGGAAAACGGGAGGTATCCCGGTCCCAGCGACAATAACTTGCGGGTTGGAAGTGTCAGTTTCTATCACAATTCAACTGGTAAGTATATTGTGTCGTATTCTGTCTCATGTGCTGTCTTTAAGTCGTTGTCGGGATCGACTGATAACTTGATGACTGGGGTAAACTCCAAACGCCACATAATATAACTACCAAAGATTGATATATCTCAGCCCAGGTGTTTAACCAATACATATCTTACGGAATCTACAGAGATTCTTTCAGGATTGTTGCAATGTATAACTGCTGGACCCGATGGAGTGATGAATAACAATTTCTTCCAACCCACGTCCCGAAAAGCTAATCAAGCGATAGCACTGGATCACATCCATCAACTCACTTTACCTTATCGAGACCGACAAGAAGAACCGATCGGGATCTCTTCCCAGCATATAAATCAGTTGTCGTCGTTCTCGGTGGCGCCGGAATGATGGCGGTGATACTTTGAGTCAATGACCTAGTTCAGCCCCATACTTATATCAGGGAGTGGGTGGTCAAGGCACTTTAAACAAAGTTAATTCTGCTCCTTCATATAAAAAACGCGCTGAGAGTGCCGATCAGTCTTCAACTACACGCTGAGTAAGGAGATCTACAGCATTTTTGATGACGGCCTCGAGTCAACACCAACAAAGTCCGATCTCTCCGTAGATATTGTAATAGACTCACCTAATGCGATTCGGTTTCTTGATTGCACAATGCGATCGAGTATATAGTCCAAAGAGTTCCCGGCCGTAAAGACGATGCTTTGGTGATTCAAGACATTAAGCTTGATTCAGCTATACACTCATTTGTTCTTGTCCATTTTCGAGCTGTTGCTATCGACAATGGCGGCTCGTCTGTTCTTTTCCTTCGGGCTTCTGAGCACCGCTGTGCTTGCCTCCCCTCCGGAAACCGCCATCGCAGCCCGCGCTTTTGACTGCTCTCCGGGATCGGAAACAGGACTTAAGCCCGAGTGCTGGGCTCAGTTGAACGTGTCAGACTACATCACCAAATGGCTGGCTGAGAACGGCACCAAGGCCGACTGCGACAACCTGGGATTCGCCCAGTGTTTCTTGGCTTTCAACGGCTACGGTGGTCGAACTTGCGATACCCTCACTCGCGATACGTGTGCAGCCTTTGAAACTGCCGGTGTCGACGCCGCCTACTCTTCGCCGCAACAATTCTACACTCTTTGGAACATCTACGCCATTTCTCAGTTTTTCAATCAGTTCTCGGAGGCTCTTTGGAATGGCCACACCCTCGCTGCGGATACGATCGGGGACATCGTTGCCACCGTCTCCCCATCTACCGACCCTGAAGTTCCAAGCAACTTATTGTGGACTTCGATCTCTGGCGGATTCTGGATGGCCGCCGTTGGTGCCTTTGCCAATCCCCTCCTGGCTGGAGTCGCCACGGGCATGGCTGTTGTCACAGGAATGAGCTCTTTCTTCATGTCCTCAGTGGCAGGCTCTTCCAACTCGCGATTCATCACTCTCGGTGAGATCGGGAGCAGCCTTGCTCAGCTTATCATTGACTACCAAGGTAGCCTCGAAGGCGCCTTGAAGGAGCTTCAGGGCAACAGCACCCTGTTCCTGGCCGCAACGGAGCCTGGTGGCTTCAGCCAGCGTGCTGTGACCAGCTTGAATCTCCAATCCACCGAGCTCTACCACGATCTGCAACTCTATATTCTTTCTCTATCTCTCAAGGCCAACGGCATCGTTTCCACTCGCTCGACCGGCGTCAATGCCCTCGACTACGCACCCGACACCAACGGCGCCGTCTCATGCCCTGGTCTTGGTCCCGCGGGTAATTGCTACCAATTCTGGATCGACCCGGATACGGGCGACTCGTACGCGCTGCACAACCCGAAGGACTGGAAGAACGACTATGTCGATGTGCTCAACAAGATTCATGACAAGAACTGGGCGAACCTCAGTGAGATTTTCAAGGTGGAGGATTGCCAGGGCAAAGATCCGAGCTTTGACGGAAAAACGAAAGTGACTTGCCTGGCGTCGCACGGATTTTGCGAGTGGGATTACGTTGATCAAGACACCGTCACCAAGTCCAGGACGGCTAACAAGCAGTTCACCAATTGTGACAACGACAAATCGTGGGGCACTCTTTGTGACTGGATGAACGGTGGTCTTGTGATGCCCGAGGCCTACCTCGGACCTCTCTTCAAGTTCCAGGAGCCTGCGTGGTGCAGAGAGCACTAGCTTTTCGAGGCTTAGCTTTTGAATTTGTACACAATAATACCCGTGTAATCATAGAGTATCATCTTCGAATGCAATGAGGTTCGATTATAGCAACATCAAATCGCGTGTTAGTTCTGATGCCAAGTGCATTCGTCTTTCATCCCTAAACATGCCGTCGTGTGCAATTACCTGAAGAGAAGAATGTGTCATTCATTTGCGCCTCAATTGCAAAATGGTGATGTCTATGTAGTAAAATCATCTCAAGACTGCCACAATCACTGAATGCTCTCGAGTCCGGTGGAGCACGTGCTGAAGGGATGCAATGATCGCCACGAGCCAGCAGGTGAACGTGGGGGATCGTGTGACATGGACAGGGCTAGCGGAATTGCCGGCATGCAGATCAGAGATTTCGCTTTCGGATTGCGGGATCTCGCATGTAGTCAATCTTGGTGTCAGCACCAGGCGGATATAACACTCGACGCATCTGATTTTGATTACATATATCGAAACTAGGATATAAGGTTGAGTACATCTTGACTCCCGCATCTGATGTTGCCGCACACACTGCAGCTTTGGTCAATTGTAAGACTCAGGCTACTAAATCTAGGTGTCACGCAGGAAAGAATTACAGCCTACCTTCACTGAAGTCGAAGGGAGCGTCATAGTGATGGACATCATCAATCAACAAGATGACCTATCGACTTCGTGAAATATATCTGATGTACCTGGAGTATGCCATATTACCTTCCAACGTTCCTCATCTTGAGCCACTTGAAGTTGATTAAAGGACATGTGCTTTGCCTCAAAGGTGAATATAAAGTTCTATATCTACGTGTCCTGTGACTCTGTTGAATTCCTGCATAAAATACTTCTAACAGTTTTGTCCGTCCATGAACCCCTTGCCTAGGTCTAACCCGTCCAGATCCGGAACTCAGACAGACTCATGGCATGTCGATTCGGTCTCTACAGACCATAGCTATGTGTATCAAAAGCTACTACCTTTCCAGGCTCCGTGATCGACCCATTGACCGGCGCTGCAAGAGACCCTCCAGTAACAACATACAAGATCCCCTTGTCCTTGACGTTCCGTCCGAATGCAGTGGCGGTTCCTCCAGCGACAGTCAGTTCCGTCTCTGAGCCGGCCACGACGGTGCCCTTGCCCTCGGGGGTGATGTAAACAAGCTTATTATCAATGTTGGTCACTGCCCAGATACCGCCCTTTTTATCGAAAGCAAAGTCATCGAGAAATGCAGCGATGGTGCTCACATCGGCAATCTGGTCGATAGTGGCCTTCGCCGCAACTCTACCCGAGCGATCGAGCTTGACCCGGAAGACCTTTCTAAAGGAGCTGTGGCTCCAGTACAGATAGTCTCCGCGGATTCGCACACCGTTGACTCCAATGGCCGGCACCGCTCCGGCTGCAGGCTCGAGATCTTGACCGCCTAGGATGGTCTCGTATTTCTTGGCTTTGACATCGAGTCTGTACACTTTGCCCAGCGCAGACTCGGCAACGAGAACAATGTTGCTATCCCACGGCAGAGAGACTACGCCATTCAAGAACGCCGCCTCTGGCACGTTGACAATCTTGTTCACCGTCGTCTTCTTGTCTGCGATGCTGACCTCCCACGCTGAAAAAGTACCGGGAACGCTGACACCGATGCCTGAGAAGTTACCGCCAACTACCACGAATGTGTCGGGGCAGGTCTCAGTGATGCCGAGAAGGCCATTTAGGTCTGAGAACCGGTGGACAAGCTCTGCTGATGGTGACTTCTCCCACGGTTTGGCGACTTGGTAAAGCTCGGGAGAGGTAAGAAGAGGTAGGAGGAGGTTGCCATTTTTGCGGACGGCGATGTTTTCGATCCAGTTGGGCTTTTCTGGGAATTGGTAGGCAATACGTGAGGGCAGGCTCTGGCCTACGGCTAGAGCAATGTAAAGAATTGACGACGCAATTAAGCCCCGCATATTTGCTGTGGTTTTGACGGGTATCTCTTTGAAGGCGATGTACCACGAAGTCTCAATGGGAAAGAGTGAACGAGGTCTTGGTATGGTGATTGATACAGGATTCATGCAGTTAAATATGATGATCAACCTTGCAGATTCTTTCTCAGGCTAATTAAATGGATGCGCTGGCTTACCAACTTCCTGCATCTTACTACGTACACAGGGTTCTCATTAGCTCCGGAGTTGTCGTCTTACTGAGATCGTGCAGGCGGAACACCGCTTTACATGGTGTCTATGTCCGACGTGGCCCATAAAGATCTCCCCATAACGAAGCCAAGAGGTGCAGTAGCATGCACAAGCGATTGGTGATCGTTCATGTCTAGCCCGCAGAAGTTGTCGGCTAGAAGAATAGCGCAATCGCTTAGGAAGCTGACGTTGGAGTAAGGATTCAGCTGGGATCTTGGGTGCATGTTGGAACAAGCACCAGTGCATAAGCCAAGCACTAGGCCCATGGATAGATAAATCCGCGGAAATATTACCAATCGGTAACATTAATGATCAGATCCGATGACATTGAAGTAGTGAGAGTCCCAGATGTGCTAAAAGTTACTTAACCTTATAGCTTGGTGAGTTCCACGGAGAAGCTATAGCTGTGACTGTAGCTGTAGCTTGTGTTTGGTTCTCCACGACTATCAGTCCTCCCTGTTTCCTTGCTCTAAGTACCCACAAACGAGCACTGACTGTCCCGCAAGTTGGTCCACTGCTAACTCAAGGTTTTCTGCGTTAATACCTAGCTCTCATAAGTAGGTACTCATCAGGTCCTCGGAATAGGTAGCGACTTTGTAATGGGCCAGTCATACTGTCGTAAGTGTACGTTCATCGATGTGAACAGATGATGTCATGTGGAAATCGGTCTTGGTTCTGAATAATTGTTGGAAGCTCGTGGCGTTCGGGCTGTCAGCCTGGGCTGGTGCTGAATCGAAATCGAGCGCTTGCTCGCCAACCCGCAATCCCTGTCTGTGTCTCAACGCTCTACCCGAAGCAAAGATCGAAATAAGGAATTAAGTAGAGAAAGAAGGCATTGAGACCGTAGAATGTGAAGAAGAGCCGGTACCTTACTGGGAATGCCATTGAGGCTCCTAAAGCAAGACTTGGCTGCGACATCGGATCCAGGCATGCGGCTTGCATCGGGAGTGGGCGTTTGTGAGTCGGGGCGACGCCCTTCGTTCGTCATTAGCGCATTGGGGCCTTTCGAGTGAATCCCTCTCGGAGTCATCTTTAAGTTCAGGCTGAACGTCACATCGAAACTTCACAGACTTGAGTATAGAGAATCCTGCTCCCATTGTCCATACGTGAAGCTGACCACCAAACAAGACATCATACTGCCCAACATGAGCAACCAACTCGCCCAAGAGCTGAAGCGGCTGCACGTCCCCGCATCGCCAGTCATCTTCGCCAACGTCTGGGACCTAGCCTCCCTCAACGCGATCATCTCGCTTAACACCACCGACTCAAAGCCCGTGAAAGCCATTGCAACCGCATCATGGGCCATCGCAGCAACAGTGGGCGTCAAGGATGAGGACCTCGAGCTAGAGCAAAACATGGCCGCGATAGGCCAACTCGCGCCCGCCGCTAAAGCCGCCGGCCTGCCACTCTCCGTCGACCTCCAAGACGGATACGGAGATCTGATCGACGAGGTCGTAACAGAAGTAGTCACGTTGGGCGCTAGCGGTGCCAACATTGAGGACAGCATTCCGTCAGCCGGATTCGAGAAGGGCATCGAAGGGTCCCTCTACGGCGTAGACACGCAAGTCGCTCGCCTCGAGAGCGCCTTGGAGGCGGCTCGCGAGGCGGGGTGTCCTGACTTTGTCCTCAATGCCCGGTGCGATGTGTTCCGTCTCGAGCCGTATTGCGCGACTGACGACGAGAGCGTACTGGTGGAAGCCGTGAAGCGGGGCCGGGCGTACCTGGAGGCCGGAGCGACGACTGTGTTTTTCTGGGGCGGTTCGGGACGCGGGCTGCGGACGTCGGAGGTTCGTGTGCTCGTGAAAGAGCTCGGAGGGCGGGTTGCTGTTAAGCTCGGGGATCGGGCGGACTCGTTGTCAACGAAGGAGCTGGGTGAGATTGGGGTCGCTAGGATCAGTGTAGGACCGAGTTTGTACCTTGTGGCGATGAACGCGGTGAAGGAATCGGCGAGAAGGATCTTGGACGGAGGGAAACTGGCTGCCTGAGAGCTTGACCGTTGGAGAAAACTTGAGGCATATCGGGGCACAAATAACGCGGCTGAGGCTGAGCACCTTCGAACTGGATGTTTCAATCAACCAAGTTTGCTATGTGAGCACCCCTCTTCTACGAATCAATGGTTCTATAATCCGCTCCAAGTATATGTGTATTTGGAGAGGACTCGAAACAGTCCTGCTCCAGTCGATATGTACAGACTTTTCAATTGCCTCCAGAGGCCTCCTTCACATCTTCCAAGTGATCAAATATCTCGTCTAGTTGATGGCGGCAGGGGGTTGCTGGCCAGGCAGAGGAATACTCTGCGGATGAGCAGTGAACATGCCCTCGGGGTCGTACACGGCCTTGATCTCCTGCAACTTGGCATAGTTCTTGCCGTATAGGCGCTCGCTCCACTGATCAACGGTCAGAGCCGTATCGCGGTAGTTGACGAAGCCACGAAGGGGCACGCCCTCGGCGGCGAGCTGGTCCTTAAAGGGCTGGAAGCCGTTCTGCATGTAGCTCAGACCGTCGGCGGGGAACTCGGTCAAGCCGGTAGCAAGACGGCCTTCCCAGCGGATGAGCCACAAGCTGTTGGCGTGGGCAAAGGAGGTGTCGTCGTCCTTGAGGGCCTTGGTAGGCTTGCCGCCCCAGAGGTCAATGAAGCCAAACTTTGTGAGGTCGGTGCGGTTGAAGGCCACGGTGGTGAAGTTGTAGAGGGCGGTGGCAGAGGCCTTTGTGAAGGGCTGGTCCTCACGGAGGACGAGGGCCTGGAGGTAGAAGTTGCGAGGGGGGAAGGTGTCGACGGGAATGTCGATGGAGGGGGTAGCGACATTCTCGACGGCCCAGAAGTCCTGGACGGTGCGAGTGAGCTGGGTGCCGTTAGGAAGCTTGGCCATGAGGGGCTCGAGGAGCTTGTCAAAGTCCTCGGGGTTGCCCCAGTAGAAGCCGGAGCCGGTGTAGGGAGGGGCGGTCAAGGACCAACGCATGGTGAGCTCGTCGGGCCACTGGCCGGAGAGGTAGTGCTCTTGGATGGCGAGGAGAGAGTCGACGCCGGCGGAGAGGGAGCTGTCGGTAAGAGTGATGGTGTAGTTGATGGCCTGCTGGTACGTGGGCTTCCAGGTCTTGGTGGTGAGGCTCAGGATGATACCATAGGAGCTGCCGGCTCCTTGCAGGGCCCAGAAAAGCTCGGGGTTCTTGGTGCGGGAGGTCTCAACAATGGTGCCGTTATAGAGCATGTAAGTGGCGCCCTCGAGGTAGTCCATGGGGGTTCCGAGCATGCGGGACAGGGAGCCGAAGCCGCCTCCAATGGAAGAGCCGATCAGGCCGACCATGTTGGCGCGGACGTGAGGGAAGCGGGCGCCGTGCTCCTTCCAGAGCTGGCTGACGACGGGGCTCACAAGGGAGCCGCCGCCGTAGGTAAGCAGACCGGTGGCTTCATCATACTTGGTCTCCTGGAAGTGAGTCATGTTGATGGTGAGCCCTGCGTTGGGCAGACTGTAGGAGCCGTAGCAGTGGCCGCCATCACGGGCCGCGACCAGAACCTTTGCCTCCCGGGCACAGGCGAGAGCGGCGGCGACCTCATCGGTGGTGCGCGGCCAGGCGACACCGGCCGGAGTGGGGGCGATGCGGCGCTGCCACGGGAGGATATCGGTCGGGAAAGAGGCGTTGGTCTCGGGGAACGATGTGAGGAGGCCGGCAGTTTCGAGGCAGGTCTCTAGACCCTGGGCTTGTGTGCACGAAGCGAGTGATGCCGTCGCGAAAGCGGCGAGGCTGAAAAGACGGACCATGGTGAATGAATGCAGCAGAAAAGGAGAGACTGAAGTTAGACTGGCAGAGCTTGGAGGCTTCTAGAGGACATCGCTTCCCGAAAACCACGCATTTGGGGCTTTGCTTTATATCTCATCTCTACTCCGATTCCCCCTAATTCCCAACGTTCAATCATGATTTCTTGGCATCGTCTAGATGCACCACGCCGCCGGGCAGTTGTACCGCAAGTTGTAACGGAGGCATCCGCTCGCGTCGAGCTCGGCAGCACCGGACACCGGATGAACTGCTGCGGTGGTATTGGTAAAGGGGTTCAGCAGCGAAACGCTCGCCCGCAGAGTGACCCATCATGCCAACTGCAATAAAGTTGCAGAAACCTTTTTAGATTGTTTCCCAGCTTTTCTGCAGATAAAGTTCGGCTTGGAATCAGGGGTCATCCGCGTCACTGGGCTTGTGGAGAGGGCGTTGTTAGGCGCTCGAGTCATTGAATTTCGGGAGGAACTGAGCAGCCTCAAGGATTTCTGGTCGCTATGAGGCGCTCGTGATCAACATGAACAGAAATTCCCGTCAAATTGTTGCCTCACTATTGCCGCATGTAGGAATGAGGCGACGGTCGAACACGTCCTCTGCTGTATAGCGCTCTTTCGGCCAAGTTTGTTGAACACGCCGCACTCGGGACTGGGTGCCAAGAGTAAGTCCCAGGCGGCTCAAATATCGGCGCACTGCCACGGAGCATCGCGTTGCCAAGACAGACTATCCCCTGGGACATATTGCAGGATGGAATTGTAAGTTCCTGGGGATGAAAGAAATGAAATTTCGCACCATACACAACACCGCGATTCGCCGGATCCTCTTCATAAGCGTGTTCCATCTATCTGATCTGATGGCGAAGCACGTCTTGGAAATTTGGCCATTTGGATGAAGGTGAGTGCCAAGGCAACTCAATGATATGAACTTGGACAATCAGACACGCATATTAAACACTACAGGAACAGTCTTATGTACGGAGTCAGACGCTGAACACAATGAGGACAACT